TAATAATAATAATAATAATAATAATAATAATAATAATAATAATAATAATAATAATAATAATAATAATAATAATAATAATAATAATAATAATAATAATAATAATAATAATAATAATAATAATAATAATAATAATAATAATAATAATAATAATAATAATAATAATAATAATAATAATAATAATAATAATAATAATAATAATAATAATAATAATAATAATAATAATAATAATAATAATAATAATAATAATAATAATAATAATAATAATAATAATAATAATAATAATAATAATAATAATAATAATAATAATAATAATAATAATAATAATAATAATAATAATAATAATAATAATAATAATAATAATAATAATAATAATAATAATAATAATAATAATAATAATAATAATAATAATAATAATAATAATAATAATAATAATAATAATAATAATAATAATAATAATAATAATAATAATAATAATAATAATAATAATAATAATAATAATAATAATAATAATAATAATAATAATAATAATAATAATAATAATAATAATAATAATAATAATAATAATAATAATAATAATAATAATAATAATAATAATAATAATAATAATAATAATAATAATAATAATAATAATAATAATAATAATAATAATAATAATAATAATAATAATAATAATAATAATAATAATAATAATAATAATAATAATAATAATAATAATAATAATAATAATAATAATAATAATAATAATAATAATAATAATAATAATAATAATAATAATAATAATAATAATAATAATAATAATAATAATAATAATAATAATAATAATAATAATAATAATAATAATAATAATAATAATAATAATAATAATAATAATAATAATAATAATAATAATAATAATAATAATAATAATAATAATAATAATAATAATAATAATAATAATAATAATAATAATAATAATAATAATAATAATAATAATAATAATAATAATAATAATAATAATAATAATAATAATAATAATAATAATAATAATAATAATAATAATAATAATAATAATAATATGTAATAATCCGAAAATTTTTATTAAATATTTAGAATAAAAGAAATTAACTTTATCGAAATACAAATATGGGAAAAAATAAGATTAATATAAAAAGAAAGAAAAAATAATAAATAAATAAAATATTTTATTTGAATATTTTAATATTTATAATTTTTTTTAATATTTAATATTTATAATAAATTTTGAGATATTCAATTTTTTTATAATAAATATTTTATAAATATTATTATCTTAGAATGATACTTAAGAGAACAAAATCTTCATTTCGAAAAGAAAGCAATATCTACGTCGTATTTCTTTTCATGTGTTTGTTAAATTTAGTAAATTTTTATTATAACAATTAATATTTAAAATTGTACCTGTATAATAATATAATAATAATATTGTTAATGATAATGAATAAAAATAATTATGATCGTGTGTGTGTGCGTGTATGTGCGCGCGCGCGCGCGTGTGTGTATGTATGTATGTATGTATGTATGTATGTATGTATATTTGTGTATAATAGTGATATAAAAAATAATAGATACAATATTAAATAATAATAGTAATAATTAATAATTTTAACAAACTAATATAATAATAACAATAACAATAACAATAACAATACAATAATGATAATAGTAATAATGAATAATTTCAACAAATTAATATTATCATATTAATATAATAACATTAATATAATTAAATATAATTAAACTTAATTAAACGTAATAATTATAATTGATAATAATTAATATACAATGACGAAGAAAAAAAGGGAATGAAAAAAAAAAAAAGAAAAAAAGAAATTGTTTACTCGACAAAAATGAGCTCCTTATTGTTATTGACCAAATCGTAGTGTCACATGATGCAAGGTAAGGTGCAATACACTTTTCTCCTTGACCTTATTTCTAAGAACGAAGGTCGATGGTCTTTTCATCGCTCGAAAAGTAAGATCAAGGTTCATGAGAAGGAGACTAAGTTCTCGCATGCGACGTATTCCTTGAGAATATTTTCCCGAAGGACATAGCTAACTCGTTTCAATGCATCTCTCTCTCTCTCTCTCTCTCTCTCTCTCTCGCTCCTTCTCTCTCAAGGCGATGTACGATAAAAAGAAGTAAATACGAAAGAGGTATCGACAGAATAGCCTCTTAACAGTCTGTCCTTTACATTTTTGTCGAATTCCCTAGAGTTGTTGCACGTACGACGTTCCGAGAAAGACTGATACAATACAAGTCGATTGTGTTTACATATTTTCCTTTTTCTTCGTTTTATTCTCGTATTTTCTTTCTCTTATTATTTTTATTTTTATTTCTCTTCTTTTCTCTCTCTCTCTCTCTCTCTCTCTCTCTCTCTCTTTTTTTTTCTTTTTTCTTTTTTTTTCACTCTGTTATTTATAATATCAACGCGCGAAATTGTACGGATGTGTGTCCATCTACGTTGTTTCTTTAATGTACGAAGATAAATAAATTATTTGATTTATTACTGATATAACGATGTTATGTACAGGGTGTGAAAACATTTTTAATGTCACGGCTTTTACATGTGATAGTACAATTTTATGATCGACTTAAAATATGTTTAAAAATAATCAATCGCAAAATTGGCCTTCATCAGAAATTTGTAAGTACAAAGATATTTTTTTTCTATTTTTTTTTTTTTTTTTTTTTCTTTTTTTTCTTTTTGTTGTTGAAATGTATTCTATTTATCACAAGGATGAAAAGTATAATATGAATTATCTGTTACAATTGAATGTATGATGATATACATCTTTATCGACTTTTAATCATTCAAATTTAGAATGAGCTTATTTTTTTTTTTTTTACCGAGTTTAAAAAGTCCAACAGGAGAATAAATTATTTAATTTGCAAATAAACAATCGGACTGTTGTTTATGTCAATGTACAGAGTAAATCGTAAAAATTTTAATGTAATATTTTTTTCCATTTTCAAATCATGAAACAATAATATAAATATTGAAAATATAAATAATATAATATAAATAAAATAAAATATAATAAATAATAAATATATAAATATAATAAATACATAATAATAATATTAATGATAATAAATATATAATATAATAAAAAATATATAAATATAATAAAATAATATAAATATTGAATATATCTAAAATTTTTATATACAAACGAAACATTCATTAATCTGTACAATTTTTAATTTAACCCACTATGGGCTCGTGTAACTTTTAGGTTACATTTTAATTTATCGAAATTTTACCAAATAGCTTTTTTCATGAAAAAAAAAAAAATTCGACCCATAGAGAATTAACAATGTAAACATTTCGTACGTGCCATTTTCAAATGTAATACCACGTATATAAATCAAAATTTCAATCCATTTTATTCGAATAACGAAACGTACAATAATATATACGATTTTCATTAACGAAATATCGAATCGAAACAATGTAATTTTTAAGTGTGAACAATTACGCGTTACCTGTAAATCCGCAATTGTTGTTTTTTCTTAAATATATAAGAAATAAGAGTGACAACAATATGAGTAAAAAAAAAAAAAGAAAACAAAAGAACTTAAATCGACTTGATCATTCGTAACATTCTCACCATATATATATATATATATGTATATACAGGATGTTCAAAAAGTATTGGACCAAACGTTATACTACGTATTACTGAGATCAAATATATGAAAAAAAAAATTCATAAACTTACATCCAATAAACTTTGTTCTGAAAATGATTTATTGAAAAGTCATATGCCTTTACAAATATTTATAATTTATTCTGACAATTATAAGAAATGTTTGAAAATTCATTCGTCGAATTAGCGATTGTCAAAAATCTTTCGAATATTCTAACTGTATTGGAAATATGTATTTTACATAAATTCCCAAAGTTCATCTATTATTTCTATTATATTTTTATGAAACAATTATTTTGCGTGAGTCCATAAACAGTGAGGTCCAGAAGAAAAACAAATAAAAAAATAAAAAAATAAAAAAGAAAAAAGAAAAAAAAAGAGAAAGAGTTCGGCAATCACTAATTCGACGAATGGAAATAATTCGTAAATATCATTGAAAACATATATGGACCGTTTATTTCGAAAGTGGTGTAAGTCCATTTTTTCTTGTTACGAGAAAATTAAAGGTTAGCATATTTCTCAATTAAAAAATTTAATTTAATTATATCAAGTCTGACAATGTTTCTACTGATTTATCAATATGTAATTTGATTATATAAATTTGTTTTAGGCGAATTTAACTAAAATACTGTATATTTATGGGCTGCAAATGGACTTACATCACTATCAAAATTAGTCAATTGTAAAAATCGTTTAATTTCAATTTTGAAAAATCAAATATCAATTAAAGTATACTTCATATTAATCCAATTTTGTTTACAAATAATGACACGATATAAAATAAAAGTAGTATTTTTAATTTTAGACGTTAATTACATTGTTAAAATTACAAGATATTGGTAGTATTTACTTGTGCTCTGTATGTGGCAGTGTTTTGAAATATTCATGATGCACCGGAGATATATAAGATAATAACTGCTTGATATTTTTATATTTTTCACAAGTAATAGAGCCTGGCATCTTGGTATAAAGGCGCCAAGGTGATCTTTTCAAATTTTGGCGGTCTTCCAGGACGTGTAGGTAATAAATTTACAATTTTAAATTCTTTGTCCTTCATCGATGTTTTATATAAAATAGTGTATGATGCACTTTTGAGAAATCTCAACTAACATATGTGCAAACAATTTACCTTTTCTCCATTACTGTTTCTTCTTATCTGTTTTTTTTTTTTTTTTTTTTTTATTGCGTTTTGAAGATTTTTTACTGAAACGAAGTTCTCCCGTTTCATTTCATGTAAAATGAATTTAATATGTTTTCTATATTGTGTTATTACGTCATAATAATCCTGTGGTGTGTACAGAAAATTCTTTTTTTCACAATGCCATTTCTATGATGCCAAAATCTGCATCGTTCGGAAGATATAAATGCTCCGAGAGTAAAAATTTCTAATGAATTATGTCAATGTTATTTTTCAACTACTGGACAATCTTCAACCACATCAATGCCATGTGTAAATTTCGATTTTGCCCGGTACACATGTCACTGTAGGCAATAACATGACATTGGATCGTTACATTTTCTAAATGCCTCAAACAGCAAGAAGCTATAATACTTCTTGCGATCCCCTGGAAGCAATAGTTTCGTCCGACACATACATATTAACTTTATTGTCGTGGAAATTGTGAAAATTCTCGTTTAAAATAAATATATTTCGCTTATATTAGGTCGGTGCGTATGAAATGTTGGATTTTCTTTAAATGTGAACGTTTGTCTCCCTGTTTTTGTTATGTTTTTGTTATTGACATAATCTGGTTTATAGTCGTATTGTCCATTTCCAGAGTCACATTTTAGCAAAGAAGATTTTCTCAAAATTGTTTCCTTTTGTTATTTGCTTTGAATTTTGCACCGATATGAATTCAACCGATATTCGTATAATTTTCTTATATGAGTATGAACTTGGTAATAATGAAGCAAAAGCTGCACGTAATATAAATCAGGCGTTTGGGGAGAATACTGTGAACGATCGAAAAGTGCAGCGTTGGTTTGAAAAATTTCGGTCTGGTGATTTTTCCCTGCTAAATGAACCGCATGGAAGACCCGAAACGTCTGTGAAAAATGATGCTCTGAAAGCATTGGTGGAAACGAATCCAACTGTTTCTTCAAGGGAACTTGCTGCCAGAATGGAAGTTGACCATACAACAATATTGCGACATCTTTCTGAAATTGGCAAGGTGAAAAAAATGGATAAGTGGATACCGCACGAACTAACCGAGTGAAATAAGTTGGATCGCTTGAACGTATGCTCATCATTGTTAACCCGATTTAATCGAGATCCATTTTTCGATCGTATCATTATTTGGAATGAAAAATGCGTTCTTTACGACAATAGGAAAAGGTGTGCTCGGTGGTTTGATAGGGATGAGGCTTGTGCTCATACTCCAAGGCCATCACTTCATCCACGGAAAATTTTAATCACAGTTTGGTGGAATGTGACTGGAGTAATACACTATTCATTCCTTCGAACTGGAATGACAATTACAGCCGAAAAGTATTGCCAGTACATTGAAGAAATGCATGAAAAATTGAAAATTATACGCCCATCATTTGTTAATCAGCATGGCCCAATCCCCCCTCCACGACAACGTTCGGCCGCATACATCGTACAAAACAATTGCGAAATTAAATGAATTAAAATATGAAATTTTGCAGCACCCACCTTATTCACCGGATCATTCGCCAACCGACTTTCATTTATTTAAACATTTAGAACTGTTTTTACGGGCTAAACAGTACGAAAATGAAGACAGTTTGAAAAATGCCATATCAGAGTTCATTGATTCTAAAGTTCAGAATTTCTTCAAGACAGACATCTATGCATTAAAATCTCGTTGAGAAAAGTGTATTGAAGTAAATGGAGCATATTTTGAGGAAATAAACAGCTTTTGGAAAAAGATATGCAGTTTAATATATTCACTTAAGAATTCGATATTTCATTCGCGCTAATCTAATAATATGCGATTGAGACAGATAATTTGGGATAAAGTAAGGCTTTTTGTAAATCAAAAGAAAAGACAAAGGATATTTATCAGGATTTTTTGATGCCAGAATTTTATCTTCTTATAATCCTTTTCTTGCTAATTCAGCATCTTACAAGTGAACATCATGTCTTTGTACAAGAATCGTTTTTTCTTCGTCATCAATTGTTGTCTTAATTTTCAATTGGACTTATACCACTTTCATAATCAATGATTATGCAATTTCTTTTAACGACCAATTTTAAATTGTACAAAACATGGGAATTTTTAAAGAAATTAAACACTAACTAGTTATACATACAAAATTTACATTAAATTAAGCATAAATTACGTGTTATCGCATTTTTTTTTTTTTTAAATGAACTTACACCACTTTCAAAATAAACGGTCCAATATATCCTTTCGATAAATCATTTTTGAACGTAAGTTTCAACGAAATTTGTTCATTTGTTTGACCTTAGTAAAACGTAGTATAACATTTGGTTCCATACTTTTCGAACAATATTTAATGTTATAAAAACAAATAAACAAACGAACAAAGAAACGAACAAACAAACAAACAAATAAATAAGGATAAAAATAATGATATCACCTTTGTTACTTGGAAAAACGCATTTCTATAGATCTACCTGTCATCCATTCAGGTCTCGGTCGTCGTAACTCGTTGACTTACGCCTTTGACCGTCTCCTTATTGATCTTTTGCAAGCTCCTATTGCGGTATTGTGAGAAAGAGATAGAGAAAGGGAGCACCGAGCGGCGCTACAGAGCGTGCGGTTGCTCGATCATACCTGATTTACTTTATGACTCTACTTGGACCGCAACGGTATACACGCCTCGTTCTCATAAAGGATCATAGTTGGTCGAGTATGGTGGGTGAGGGGAGTAAGGGACGGTGTGGAGTGGAGTAGGGATATAGTGCTTAGGTGTAAACGTTGTGAGTTCTTCGATCTTTCGCATTCCCTCTTTTACTCGACTCTACGAACGTTCAATGAACAAGAGAGAGAGAGAGAGAGAGAGAGAGAGAGAGAGAGAGAGAAAGGAGAAGCGTTGGAAAAAGAAAAAGGAGAAAGTGAAAATAAGATAGAAGATGAAGAAGAAGAAGAAGAAGAAGAAGAAGAGAAAGATTAAGAAATGACAGACGAAGAAGGAGAAGTGAAAGAGAGAGGAATGATGAAGAAGAAAAAGATAAAGAAAGATGAAGAAAAAGAAGAGAAAAATTAAGAGGAAAAAGAAGAGAAAGATTAATAAGAAGAAGAAATGAATGATGAAGAAGGAGACGTGGAACGAGGGAATGATGAAGAAGAGAAAGATAGAAAATATGAAGAAGAAGAAGAAGAAGAAGAGAAAAATTAAGTGGAAAAAAAAGTGGAAGATTAAGGATGAAAAGTAATGAAAGATGAAGGAGGAAAAGATGATGAAGAGAACTATGAGAAAAAGAAAATTATGAGAAGAAGAAATAAAGGAAAAAAAAAAGGACGGAGAGAAAGGAGAGAAAAATTAAGAGGAAAAAGAAGAGAGAGATTAAGAAGGAGAAGATATGATGGATGAAGAAGAGAATGATGGAGAAAATGAAGAAAATGAAGAGAAAGATTGAGAAGGAAAAATAATGAAAGACGAAGAAGAGAACGATGAGAAGGAAGAATAAGAAGAGAAACAGGCAGAAAAAGAAAAAAATATATAATAATATAAAAGATAGAGAATAAAGGATGCAAGGTTTTATGACAAAGAAAAAGAAGAAGAATAAGACAATGGCAAAAGAAAAATAATAAAGAAAAAGAAGAAGAAGAATAAAATAAAATGAATAAAAAACAAAAAAAGAAAGATGTGAGATTTAAAAAAGGAAAAGTCAAATGGTGAGGAATAATGAAAAAGGGGGATAAGAGAATGAAAAGAAAAGGATTAGAAAGAGGAAGGAAAAGAATAAGATGAAAAAATAACAAAAAAAAAAAAAAGAGAGAAAAGCCATGACAAAGAAAATGAAATTAAAAGGAAAAAAAGAAGAATAAAAAAGAAAGATGAAGAAAAGATAGAAGAATAAAAATAGAAAATTTATTGATAAAAGTGAAGACGAAAAAGAGTATTAAGAAAAATAAGAAAAAAAGTAAGAAAGAAGACGAAGAAAAGAAGAAGAAGAAGAAGAAGAAGAAGGGGCAGAAGAAAAAGTAGGAGAGATTGAAAAAAAAAGAAAGGAAGGTTGAGGAAAAAGAAGTAAAGAATGGTGAAAAAGAAGAAGAGATTGTAGAAAAGTATGAATAAAATGAAATAAAGGAAGAAGAAATTGAAGAAAAAGAGAATGAGAAAAAAGAAGAAGAAATTTAAGAAAAAGAAGAGAAAGATAATGGAAAAAAAAGAAGAGAAAGATAAAGAAGAAGAAGAATAAGAGAAAGATGATGAAGAAGAGGAAGATGAAGAAGAAGGTGAAAAAAAAGTTGAAGAAGAAGAAGAAGAGTAAGATCAGCAAGAAAAAGAAGAAGGAGGAGGCGGAAGAGGAGGAGGAAGAGAGAAAATGAAGAAGAAGGATAGGTAAAGAAATGAAAAATGAAAGAATAAGTTATATGAAGAAGTAGATGATGATTAAAAAGTGAGAAATAAAGAAAAAGAAGAAGAAAAAGATGAAGGAAAGAATGATGAGAAAGGTGAAGAAGTAAGAAAGGTAGAAGACAAAGATGAAAGAGAGATAGATGAAGAATAAAAGAAAAAAAGGTTGAGGAAAAAGTAGTAAAGAATGGAGAAAAAGAAAAAGAGATTGTAAAAAAGCATGAATAGAATGAAATTAAAGAAGAAGAAATTGAAGAAAAAAAAAGAGAAAGATAAAGAAGAAGAAGAAGAAGAAGAAGAGAAAGATGATGAAGAAGAAGAAGAAGAAGAAGAAGGTGAAAAAAAAGTTGAAGAAGAAGAAGAAGAGTAAGATCAGTAAGAAAAAGATGACGAAGAAGAAGAAAAAGAAGAAGAAGAAGAAGAAGAAGAAGGAATAGGAGGAGGAGAAGGAGGAGGAGAAAAAATAAAGAAGATGGAAAGGTAAAGAAGAAAAATGAAAGCAAAAGTTATATGAAGAAGTAGATGATGATTAAAAATTGAGAAATAAAGAAAAAGAAGAAGAAAAAGATAGAGGAAAGAATGATGAAAAAGGTAAAAGAGAAAGATGAAAGAGAGATATACGAAGAACATAAGAAATATGAAAAAGTAAGAAGAAGAAGAAGAAAAGGAAGAAGAAGAAACGAAAGATCAAGGACAGGTAGATGAAGATGAAGAGAAAGATGAAGGACATATGGATGAAGAAGTAGAACCCTGTAAACCTCTGGCACGAAGAGAAGCCACTTCTTCTTTCGATATATTCGCATTTATGCGCGCAGGTGCATAACTCGTGATAATATATATTAAAGAAACCGCCCTTCTTAGCCGGTGTAAATTACGCTCTGCCTTTCCAAGGAAATCGTTAATGAACGATTCCATTGTGAGATCGTAGCTTCTACTACCGACCGATCGAGCTACGAATAACTCGATCTCATGAGAAATTACTCTTATTATGTTCCCGGCGAAGGATTTCCAGTCATTCCATGAACGAGCTTTTTATTTACTGCCTTAGGGAATCATTCAAGGGTACCAGTATTTATTAATTATTACATAGTATATGAAATCATTTAGATCGTTTATTAATTAATTTTTACGTATAATATTTAACAATGGTACATTTGTATGTATGTGTATATATATATATATATATATATATATATGTACATACGCATGTATATATATATATATATATATATATATGTATTATGTGAAAACCTATAAAGAAAAACGTCGATCGATAGGATAAGATCGATAGAATAGTTCTAAAAAATTAATTAAAATAAGTTAACGAATATTAATCGAGTTATGTCCATTGTTCGGATATAATCTATTTACTTTTAATAAATGTGATATATTTCTATAAAAAAATATGTTATATAAGACATCAATTCTTGTGAAATATTTTTAAATAAATCTAAAATTAATTGGATCAGGTATTTGATTAAATATAAATTTATAGTTATTTGATAAAGATTAATGAAGAGATATGTTTATTCTTAATAAAAATTATATTACGTTACAATATTTTACATTACGTTATTTCGATCTTAAAATTTAGATATAACTTTGTTACTTTCACTTTGTTATGGTATATTAAGATAAACATTATAAACTTTTTTGTTACTGATTTTTATTTTTCATTCTTTGATAATACTTTCGTTTATTTCATTTCATTGATTTCTTATAATATTTTATGTGTACATATATTTCTTTTTTTTTTTTTTTTTTTATTAATTTTTATAACGATTATGATCAATGGCAATATGTTATTATACCCTTTACGTTGTTTCAAATCAGTTTGAATATTTATAATTAAAAATTGTATAATTAATTATGTCGTATTAAGAGATATGTTTCTTCAAGGAAGATGAATTTAATTGAAAAAAAAAAAAAAAAAAAGAAAAGAAATTTAATTGGATCTAACACTTTAAGCTATGAGTATAAAAATACAATTGCATGTATTTTTCATTTAAACATATGTTTACGTTATACGTAAAGCGTTAATGTTATACATAAACATAACATTTTTAACAACAAATAAACGACGTTACATTATATAAACTAAAACATAAATTATCTTAAGTTGATAGATTTTTAAAAAATCTCTCATACGTTAATATTGATACAGTGATCCATCAATTTAATACCAATAACAATATTAACCATAATCCTAATAATAATTCTAATTACGAAGATAATAATTATCGAGTAAAATTAACAAACGGAGATGCGTTCTAATTCGAGAAAGTAAAGGATATAAATAAAGAAAGAATTACAAAATT